GGAGAGATGGAGAGAGGAAGGAAGGAGCTGGGTGTGGTGCATAGCTGTAATCCCACACTCTGGGAGGCTGAGGCAGGAAGATTGCAAGTTCAACCCCAGCCTGGGCAACCTAGCAGGTTAATGAGACCCTGTCCCAAGATAAAAAATAAAAAAGGAGGGCCAGGGATTTAGCTCAGTGGCACTGAGCCTGCCTTGCAAGTGCAAGGTCCCAGTTCAATCCCTGGTACTGGAAAAAAAAAAATCTTGGTACCAGAGATTGAACTCGGGACCTTGTGCTTGCAAAGTAGGCGGCGGAACCACTGAGCTAAATCCCCAGCAAGTTCTTTTAAATAAAATAAAAAATGACTAGGGATGTGGCTCAGTGCAAATGCCCTAGGTTCAACCCTCAGTACTAGAAAAGGAAAAAAAGAAAAGAAGAAAGGAAAAAGTCAGGAGCAAGGGAGCCCTTTGCTTCTAGACAGAGAAAAAACAATGCAGCATTCTTTGTAAGAGAAATACTGTCTGCTTCACATACTGGAATAGCAAACTTAAGCGGGTCTTTCTTCACTTTGGAAGAGGTTTCTTTCTTCTTTTTCCTTTGGTCCTAGGGATCAAACCTGGGCTTCATGCTTGCTGGGCAAGCACTCTACTGCTGTGTCTCCCACTTCTAACCCTGGAAGAATGTTTCTTAGTGTTAACACTATATTTGTTTTTGTTTTGTTTTTTTGGTACCAGGGATCGAACTCAGGACCTTTTGCTTGTAAGGTAGGCAGCAGAACCACTGAGCTAAATCCCTGGCCCCTTAACACTATATTTATAGAATGTCTTTTTCCTGGTCATTCTTAGGCAAAGGAAGTAATGTTCTCCTAGGGGTAGAGGAAAATGTGAGAGGTAACTTATTCCCCTCCCTATTCTTCTTTCTCTTCTCCTTCCCCTTGTTTTCCTTCTTCCTCCTCTCCTTCCTCTTCCTTTTTCTTGTTATCTTAATAACTAGGGAGTTAATAACTTAACAACTGGCATTTGAGGGTGGGAGCCAGGAATGCTAAATGTTTCCCGACACTAAGAAAGGGTCCTGAAGAATGGAAAAGTCCACGTCCAAAATGCTGGGAGCAGCCTATTGATGAGTCAAGCAAGGGCTGAGGCAGGATGGCTCCACCAGGTGAGGGCAGCAGGGAGTGCTGGGGCTAGGACTGGGGCTTCTGGCAGAAAGCTGGTTAGGTCAGGCAGTAAGATCCGGGAGATGCTTATAGCTACAAAGGTAGCTGGGAGACGGCCACAGTTTCTGTCAGTACTTGGTCAGCGGGTCACACTAAACTCACAGGAAAAATGTCTATGGCTTAGTAAACAAGACATTAGAAGTCCAAAATCAAATTAACAGGTGCATCAAAGACATCTGAAGGCAGTTGGTGGTGTAGCGCTGTGGCAGGGTGCTCAACTCACACATGTGAGGCCCCAACACCACAAAGCAAACCAACAAAAACAAATAAAACCCCACACATGTAGCAGGGTGACCCCGTGGGTTTGCAGGGGTGGCAGTGCAGAAGCTAGAATTCCAGCCACGTGTGGCAGGTTTATAGAAGAGCTATAACTCCCAACCTGTTAGATGTCATATATGCTGAGTTTGTGCCCTGTGAATTTCGAAGGGACAACAGGGATTAAGAGTAGGAACTCCAAGGGACAACAGGGATTAAGAGTAGGAAAGGTAGGGCTGGGGATTTAGCTCAGTGGTTCCCCTGCCTGCTTCGCAAGTGCAAGGTCCGGAGTTCGATCCCTGGTACCAAAAAAAAAAAAAAAGTAGGAAAGGTTTATTGAGACTTAGCTCCTGAGAGACAGGAGGGGTCCCAAAGTGGGTTGCCACAGGGGCCATTTCTCCAAGAATGTTTTATAGAGCAAAATCACAAGGTGGGTACAATGGGGATCAAACTATAATCAACCAATGAGATTACAAGTAGAGCCACTTAGCTAATATTGATCCAATCTGGCCTTGAATTTCTTCTCTTTCTCCTTCCTCTTCTTTTTTTTTGAGATGAGGTCTCACTGTGTAGCACAGGTTGCCCTTGAACTCACAGCGATCCTCCTGCCTCAGCCTCCTGGTGCTAGGATTACAGGCGTGTGTCACTATTCCAGCTGTCCTTGAACTTCTGTTTCAGTCTCCCCTGTAGCTCTAACTGCAGGTGTGTGTCATTGTGCCAGGCAAGGGCTAGGTTTTGCATATGCAATTTGTCTTCCTTAGCCACAAGTTTTGCATCCCCTCATTCAACCAACCACAGATGGAAAATATTCAAGAAAAAAATCGTACCTGTATTGATCATGTACAGAATTTGTGGGTCATTATTCCCTAAACAATACAATACACTTTTCCTTTTAAAAAACATTTTTATTTCTATGCTTGAGATCCAGCCCGGGGCCAACTGCTGTAACACTGAGCCACTCCCCCAAACCCCAGTGTAACTACTGTTCATGGGTATTCACTTGTATCATGTTGGGCATTATAGGTAAACTAGAAGCGAAGCAAGGCATATGAGGAACAAGGCTCCCATATACTAGGCTCAATCCCCAGCACCAGAAAAAAGAAAAAAATAAATAAATAAAAAGAAGGAAGAGAAAGGAAGAAAAGAAAGAATATGAAATACATGGGAAGATATGTGAGGGGGTATGTGCAAATATGTACTTTTGTGTGTGTGTGGGTGTCACTGGGGATTCAAGCGAGGTCCTTCCTAGTCAGCTACATCCCTAGCACCCTCCCTCCCATATCATTTTGAGACAGCCTCTTACTGAGGTCCCCAGGCTGGACTCAAACGTGATTTCATTTATTTATTTATTTATTTATTTATTTATTTATTTATTTATTTGGTATTGGGAATCAAACTCAGGACCTTGCACTTGCCAGGGAGCCGTGGTGCCACTGAGCTACATCCCCGGCCCTTGATTTTATTTCATTTTTTTTGGTACCGGGGATCAAACTCTGGTCCTTGCGCTTGTGAGGCAGGCAGTGGAACCACTGAGCTAAATCACTGGCCGCCTTGATTTGATTTGATTTGATTTATTATTTTTAATTTTTAATTTTTTTGTTACCGGGGATCAAACTCAGGTCCTTGCGCTTGTGCAGCAGGCGGCGGAACCACTGAACTAAATCCCCAGCCCCCCTTGATTTTATTTTTGATAGGATTTCACACTGTAGTTCAGCCTGATGTTGAATTTACTACAAAAATTCAAGGCTGGCCTCAGACTCAGTGATTCTCCTGCCTCAGCCTCTCAGAGTGCTGGGATTACAGGCTTATACCACCATGTCTGGCTCCATGGCATTCTTTATAAAGGATTTGAACATCTGCAGCTACATTGAATATACAGTACCATTGATTGTAAGATGCATCCCAATTTCAGAGATACTATATAAAAAAAATAATGCCTTAGAATCAAATACTCAGTTTTCCACTCCATTCTCTCAGTAACTCTAAGAAACATTGGTAATGTTATGTTCATTTTCTAAAGGGAAAACTGAGGCTCAAAGAGAGTGGCTAACTTCTGTATTCAGCTGTGATCTTTCCTAGATAATATTAATGACGAGCTACCACTAGCTCTTTCCAACCCACCTGCTGCTCCTAAATCCCTGCTCCATGGCAATTTCAGTGGCAATTTTACTGACTCTGGGAACAGATTTGGGAGAAAAAAGTATCTGTTAGGGGCTGGGGATTTAGCTCAGTGGTTCTGCCACCTGCCTCACAAGTGCAAGGTCCTGAGTTCGATCCCCAGTACAAAAAAAGAAAAAAAGTGACTTGATCATCACACTGGGGATTGAACCCAGGGCCTCATGCATGCTAGACAAGTGCTCTGCCTCAGGGCTGTTTTATTTATAGTGCTACAGATTGTTTTGTTTTGTTTTTTTGGTACCGGGGATCGAACTTGGGTCCTTGCGCTTGTGAGGGCAGGTGGTGTATAGTGCTACAGATTGAACCTAGGGCCTCACACGTATCAGGCAAGCATCTATCAGTAAGCTACCTCCTCAATCCTTCCAAAATTGTATTTTTTGTTTTTTTGAGACAGGGTCTGGCTGTGTAGCACAGACTTGTGGCCTCAAACTTGTGGCGATCCTCCTGCCTCAGCCTCCCACAAAATTGTATTCTTTACACTAAATAGCTCCTCCCCCCCTTGCAGTACTGTTATCAAGTAGCTTGTTTCTAAAAAAGTGTCTCACTAACTAAACATTACCAGGTTCGGGTTGCTCGCCTCTCCTGGAGTTAGATTGCAGGTCCTTCTCATTTTGAACAAAGAATTGGACAAAATGAGGAAAAAGCAGTGGCAAAGTTTACTCAAGAAAGTATAAATGAAGTGCAGGAGCTGGCTCTGCAAAGTGAGCTTGGACCAAGTAAAGAGAAAAGGAGGGTGAGAGCAAAGATAAAAGTACATGCAATGTCTGGGAAACACAGTGTGGGCTATCATGGAAAGTCTTCATGGTTTCCATGTGTCTTTTTATGCAGTCTAAATCTTGAGGAAACCCACAAAAACTTCTACATACAAGTCCTGAGAGGTGGTGCTGAGATCCCATGCCTCAGGATGACATCAGGTCTAGGCTATCCTATTGAAAGCCTGGTCGAATTCTCTCAAGAAGTCCACATGCAGGGCTTTGGAAATGGTTCTGTGCATGTGTCTGGAATCTTGTAATTAACAGGTCCAAAAAAGAAAAGAAAAGAAAAAGAAATATAGACTTGTTCTCAGGGCATACTGGCGCATGCATATAATCCCAGATCTTGGGAGGCTGAAGCAGGGGATCACTGAAAGTTTGAGGCCAGCCTAGGCTACAAAGTGATTTTGAGTCCAGCCTGGGCTACAAAGTGAGTTTAAGGCCAGCTTGAACTGCACAGCAAGTGTCTCAAAAAAACAAACCACAACAAAGCAAAAGAAATAATTTCTGAAAATAATAAAATAATAAAATAAATAGAGACCTCAACACCCAGGACAGGTTACATAGAGAGGAGCTTGTCACTATTTGTTTTGAAAATTATGTAACAAACTTCCAAAACTAAATTGCTTAACTCTATTTTATTGGTATAAATACAACAAATCTCATGAGCATCAGCTACCATTTTACCACTATATAAGAGAAACAAAGTCAAATGAATTAAACATTAATGTGAAGAATAGAGATACTTTCATTTCCACTAAAGTCCCCTGTAATAAACCATCCTAGACATTTGGTGCAATTTGTTGTAATTGACTATTTGAAATGAAACAAAAGTGAATTTCACAAAACTTTTCTTTCTCAGTGGAAAATACCTTCTTCATGGGAAGTGGTTGAGCTTTTCCAACATCAAACATCATTTCCAAAGATGGATTATGAGAGGGCCCCATTCAGCTGTATGTCTGTCAATTATAATATTCCTTTGAAACTGAAAGGCTCCCAAGGATATCCCACTGAGGTCCAGGGACAGCCCCTCCCACCCAGGCCACACAATCGGCCTTTGCAGGTAGAGTAGGAGTTGGGAATGTCTTGGTGCCAACTACTTTTTGGTATTTTGGTTTTTCTACTGAATATCTTATTTCTGTAAGCAATCTGTGGAGAAATCCTGACAACACAGAGGTGCCACCGAGGACTACCACATTCTCTGCAAGTTGCTTCTGGGTATTGACTGGGCACTGTGGGAGGAAATCCAGTATTACAGTGGCAAGTGATTTCTCTTCATTATCTAGTTCAAAAAAGGATTCCCACAACCAAATTTCTGACTGGTCCAAGGAGATGTAAAATCTTTCCATTTAACGAGTAGTCAACATTTGGGGGTGGTGAGGGATGCTCATTATTCCCACCAATATTAAATGTTTCTGCTTGGATTTTGAGTCCACACTTGAGGTCACTTACGAGGCGAGTGTGTACATCAATGTCCTTTAAGACATCTTCTGGAACTGAACCCATCCCTGGGGGCCGCACCCTGTCAACAGTGCGCTGCTCCAACAGCTGAGTGTGCCGCTCCTTGGGCAGAGCTTTTCCTCTTTAGGAGAGGGCATCCCAACCACTCAGTACCAGGATTCCTTCACATATAGGTCTCACCAGGCTTTCCCAATATCCACAATCCAGGACCGTGGCAGATTTCATTCTAAGTGGCAGAAGAGCCATGAGAAGACAGAGTAAGAAAGACAGGTAGGAAGAACCTCAAAATATTGAAAAGAAGTTGAGTGAGAGTCTTTCTGAAGTGAAAAGGACAGAATATCTGCTCAATAACCACAATTCAGCGGTCTCTGGGTGCCACCAAAAGATGCTTAAATACAGTATGTGCAAGAACTCCTTCAGGTAAGAATATAATGCTTCTGTATTGATATTATAATGACAACTTGGCTTTTTAAAAAAAAAATCACATTAGGAATTATACATCTTGGACTTCCTTTTTTTTTTTTTTTTGGTGCGGGGGATTGAACTTGGGAGCTTTCGTTTGTGAGGCAGGCGGCAGCACCACTGAGCTAAATCCCAGCCCACTTTCTTTCTTTTTCTTCTTTTTCTCCTCCTCCTCCTCCTCTTCCCCACCTCCTCCTCCTTCTTCTTCTCTCTCTCTTTTTCTCTCTCTCCTCTCTCTTTCTTTCGCAGTACTAAGGATAAAACAGAGGACCTTAGCACTGAGCTACAAGCACAGCCCTTTTAAAATTTTGTATTTGATACAGGGTCTAGCTATATTTTCCAGGCGGGGCTTGAACTTGCAATCCTCCTACCTCAGCCTCTCAGACTACTATGATCACAGGCATGCACGTCAACATCAAAACCTTTAAAAGGGCAAGTGTGAATGAACCTGATGTAAGTTTTAGGGTCACTTGGACTGCTGTGGACTGGGTAGGAGAGATGCCGGAATGAGAGTGGGCAGATCCGTTGGGGGCAGTTCTGGTGAGGAGGGTAAGACAGGCCTGAAGCCTGGTGAAAGGCTGGGGCAGACATGCAGAGAGGGACAAGTGGGTGGGAAATATGTGCAGGTGAGGCAGTCAGGACCTGGTGGGGAGGGGCACGTGGGGCCAGAACACAGGAAGCCCAGGGTAGGGGCTCAGGGAGGCCAACAGGTGTTGTGGGGAATCAAGAATTCCATTTGAGGTATTTAAATTGGAGAAATCTAATTGGAAATGTTAATTAGGCAGAGGAAATCCGAATCTAGGAAGTCCAGCTGGTGATAGAAATGGGAGGGTCATCAGGGAGAGAAAGAAAAGATTTAGAAGTCTAAATCCAGGAGAAGATGTTTTGAATTATATCCATTATAATGAAGTGATTTCCACCTTCCAGGGTGACCAGGATTAGGAGGTCTGTAAATCTAGTACTGTGCTTCTCTCAGGTCAGTAAAAATAGGAATATTCTGCATTTGAATGAAGTACTCAGCACTGACAAAGAGAAAAGCCAGCATTCAGGAAGACAAGAAGGTATTCAGAGTTCCCAGCCTACCTCCCCTACTTCTTTGCATCTGTATCACTACAATAGTCTCTCCACACACAAACCAGGTAATGGCTCTGAGGATGCAGGTAAAAGCATCTTTGCCTTTCAATAAGAAAACCCACAGAGTTGGGCCTGGGGCCTCTCTCCAGTGAAAAAAACTGACTATACTTATCTGGTGGTAGAACACTTACATATAGTCACCATGCTGATCAATAGGTCTCCTGAAATTGTTTCTCCTGTGTAAATAAAATTCATGTCCTTAAATCGACATCTCTCCAGTCCTCTTATCTTGCCCCTCAGCCTCTGGTAACCACCATTCTACTTTGATTCCCTGAGTTCAAGTCTTCTATATCCTCTTTAAACAATTTCCATTAGTAAAGTTAAAGACCAAACACTCTGGATACCCCAGTTTCCCTCAGCTCACCCTGCTCTGTTTTATATATATATATATATATATACATATATATTCTATTTTTTTGGTATCGGGGATCGAACTTAGGACCTTGTGCTTGCGAGGCAGGCAGTGGAACCATTGAGCTAAATCCCCAGCCCTCTGTCCTGTATTTAGGGATAAAATTCTGGAAAAAAGTCACACCCACCATGGCACGGGTGGTTGAGAAGGGTCTGGATAGTTCCTTTCTGGCCATCGAGAGGTCTGTGAAGTCCTGGAGGGGAGAACTCTCCTCTAAGAGCAAGGCAGAGTACAGGGCCTCAGCTACAGCTCGGGCAGACATGGCTTGCATTTGAGCAGCATCTTGCTTTTGTGTAGAAAAGGTGAAGAGCCTGAGTATACTGGGAAAGGAAGACAGATTCCACAAAATTGTGGTGGTGAGGCCTGGCCGTGATCAGAGAACTTCATTTTCTGTTTTTTCGTTTGTTTGTTTTGAAGACAGGGTCTCGCTATGTAGTTCAGGCTGGCCTCCAACTCCCACCAATCCTCCTGCTTCAGCCTCTTGAGTGCTGGGATTACAGGCGTGTGCCACTGTACAGTGCCACCAGAGTTTTCTTCAGAATCCACTTACCGGAAGTGGCTGGCTGCTGCCATCTGCTGGACGAGTGTAGGAAATTCAGAGGATGGTTCAGTATCAGGAACTAGAAGCCAGCTGGTGCAGACTGAGGGTGGCAGCAGAGCAGGTAGAACTGTGTGGTTCGCACCTACTGAGAGGCTTCCTTGGAGCTCCAGGCCTCAGGAATTTCTAACTGCAGATTCATCTGGACAGCCATGCTGTAGAACTTCTGGGGGGTGGCTGTGGCTGCAGGAAAGGGCATTAACAGTCAGAAGAGCAAACCAAAACAATGTCAGTGCTCTGCAGGTTGGGGAAAGGCCAGGGTACTTTAGTATTTAAAGCTTTCATTAAGCCAGCCTCACTGCCCCTCAGTAAGGTTTTGAGGTCTGATTTAAACCTTCATCTCATTATCTGGATATCAGTGATCTGATTTTGTTGTTGTTTTGCAGTACTGGGGATTGAATCCTGGATCTCACATGATATTCCCAACATTTTAAAATTTTGAGACAGGGTCTGGCTAAACTGCTCTGGCTGGGCTCAAATAGGCAATTGTCCTGGCACCCCTAGGGTGCTGGGATTACAGGCACATGCCATTATGCCCAGATACCAGTAACTGTCTTTTTTGGGGGGGGGGTACCGGGGATCGAACTTGGATCCTTGTGCTTATGCAGCAGGCGACGAAACCACTGAGCTAAATCCCCGGCCCTTACCAGTAACTGTCTTGATGTCCTGACCCTCTTTGATATTATAGATAGCTAAGTTATAGAAATTAATATACAGAGGGATGGGAGGGATTGAGGCTAGGCACGGGCATGCACACCTGTGATCCCAGCACTTGTCTGTGATTCCACCACTCAGGAGGCTGAAGCAGGAGGATTGCTGCAAGTTCAAAACTAGCATGGGCCACATAGTGAGTTCAAGGACACCCTGAACTGCATAGTGAGATCTTGTCTCAAAAAAGGGGCGCGGGATTGGACCCTCAAGGAAGTCAGCACAACATATAAAGACATCAAGATTGTGGCTAGAGGGCTGGGGATTTAGCTCAGTGGTTCCAGTGCCTGCCTCACAAGCGCAAGGTCCAGAGTTAGATCCCCAATACCAAAAAAAAAAAAGAAAAAAAGACTGTGGCTGGAGCTGGGCAAGGTGGCACATACCTGTGATCCTAGTATTTAGGAGGCTGAGGCAGAAGGACTGCCATGAGTTCAAGGCCAGCCTAAATTACATAATAAGACACCCCTATCCCCAAAACAAGAAAAAAAGTTTATGGCTGGAGACTAAAGATGAAGGTGCAATGGCTAGGCTTGCTTGGCTCCCTAAGGGTTAAACAGCAATTTGAGATTATACTGTAATTAGCACATGGTCCAGTAAGTCCAGATAGGCATCAGACACCCAGAATATCTGGACCCATCCTAATATACCCTTGCTATGTGACTCATTTCCCTATTTTTTGTTTTGATTTGTTTTTGAGACAGGGTCTCACTATGTAGCACAGGCTGGCCTTGAACTCACTATGTATCCCTGGCTTGCCACGAACTCACAGTGATCCTCCTGCCTCAGCCTCCCAAATGCTGAGATTACAGATATGAACCACCATGCCTGGTTCCTTACTGAACCAATATTCACTAAGAAGCCACACTTGTATTCCTATTGATTGTAGTTTGACTCACGTTATACCCACGTTGTGACTTTGCTATATAAATCACTCCCCCATACCACCATGTAGAAGGAAGGCCCTCACCAGACATCAAATGCCAGCGCTTTGATCTTGGAATTCCCAGACCCTGGGACTATGAGAAAATGAATTTTTGATTTTATAAATTATCCAATCTCAGGTATGTTATAGCAGTGTAAATGGACTAAGATAGACATATTCCAAACTTCACCTGTCCTTAAGACCCTTCCTTCCTGAAGACCCAATTCTAAAGTGACTTTCTTCATAGGCTTTATGGCAAATGAACACAAGTATTTTGGTAATTAAACACCTTTATCCTAACACATATCCTGCCACTAAATTACTTATATATTTCTTGTCAACCTTTCATGGATTTATGTCCTTGACTAGATATGTTGAGCCAGAGGTGGAATTAGGGAACCTGTTTCTTTGTGAATGAAACAGAAAAGGCACTCAAATTTGGAGGGCTTGACTGAGAATCAGATATAGTAATTATAAAAATGAATTAATTTCTAAAATCGGGTATAAGTCTTTTAATAAGCCTGTAAGTTTTGATCTCCGGTACCAAAAAAAAAATAAATAAATAAGAAAAAAAGAAAAAAGCCTGTAAGTATAAATAAGGATGAGCTTCAGACATTTATAGCTAAATGGAAGGACCTCGAGGGCATACTCTTAAGTGCAATAAATCAGACCCATGTTTATTTATTTTTTAAAAGTATCTAATTTTATTATTTTTTC